GAGTTTGTAGAGAATGCCATGTTCAACGACGCAACTTTGATATCCCAAATATCAGCCGTGTTTCCACTGGTAATTCATTGTATTCTCTCGCTGTTCGATATATCATTGAGTCGTACAACATATTCAAACGACAACGCGGAGTTGGAAATAGCGTCTTCTCGCGACTTTGTAGTGAGTATGAAAAAACAGTAGGAGGATCTGAACGTGATGGCAGCAGAGTTTCTAAGAAAGGTGTTTTTCCCGTAACTATTTTTTGGAATAAAACTAACCTGTGTCGCATAAAAACAACTCACAACGGCTCCCATCCCAAATCTCTAAACACTCGCGGACTGAGGACTGAGGTTACCAAGGTTAAGCAAATGAATAAAACTCTATGGCATAGACACCACCAACTTTTCTGAAAAACACGCAAAGAAAAACAAAGGCAAGGGATAAATAATACTGATGCGATGCAAGGGGACAGTCTAACTACACAACAAAATCGAAAGCGGATGATAAGGATATACTAAACCTAGTATTCAATTATTTAGGAAATGAATCCTTTGTATTTTCTAGAAAATTAGCAAGAGTTGTAAGAAATGCAAATGTGAAGTGTCGAATAATATTTCGGAAGCGTAAAACAATTGATCAAGAATTTCGTAGACAGATGAAAGAATATAGTTTCAGAAAAGTTGGTGTTGTCTAATACGTTCAATGACATCTCATTTAAAACTCTAGTGTTCTGATTGAATAGTGTTAAAGTAAAATGATTGATCGACAAAATGATCAATAAGGAAAGAACGCGAGTCATAATGTTATGGGTGTAAATAGTCGGTTTTTTCTCAGTTTATGAATAATTTTACTTGATAATGAAGCGAGAAGCTTCGAAAGCTTGCAAAAACATGTTTAAAATTGTATAATAAAGTCTTTTAAAAAAACACTCTTATTAAAAGGATTTGATTTAATTTAACGTGAATTATTTTGTTCAAAAGTCAGTTAAAAGCCTTTTGGTTTTTAATGAATACTCTATAAGGCTACCTTAGTCTGAAAAACTATTCGAATTTAGTTGTAGTGTTTCACAACAATTTTTACATCAATTATTGTTTTGTGCCTTGAAAACACAGCCGGTCGTAAAGGGTTAATGATAGATAAACACAATCGCATGCTGATTGACTGAGCAAAATATACGTAAGAATAATACGAAACAATGAGAAAAGCAATAATTATAACAAAAAATTAGCTTTTACCGAAGAGTCTATTGGATCGACCTTTAAAAATGAAAATTATTCATATCGTATACATTAGGAAAGGACTATTCAGTGGTTGATTCTACGTTGAAACGAAAGTGTCGTTTAATTCATTTCATCTTTCATTATCGATAACTTAAACTCGTAAGATCGAACTTTTAAAGAAAATGCAAGAGAAAGTGACTCTAGTCAATTGGGGTAATCACTAATCTTTATTTAGAGAGATAGATCGATTAAAGAATTTCTCAAATTCAAGCATGTCGAAAAATAAATTAGGACGCATTGTCACTGTCGGAGCAGGACCAGGTGGACTTACACTAGCATGCATTCTAAGGCGCGCGTAATTCAAAGTTTCCACACCTCGCCTTTTATCCCTTAAACACACATAGTCTGATAGAGTCGAGCACGCTGATTCCGAATATCACCTTTTTAGCTCGATTCGACAAAGTTTTGGGTTGAAAAATCTCAAAATACTGAGAATACCTCAAAAACAGCGAAAGCCGAAGCTTATGAAAACTTTCAAAAATCTCCCTACGGTTTCCCTTTTTGATTTTCTTGAAGGCATTTTCGAATTCCTCAGTATCAAATACCCCAAGAACAATGGTCTAGAGTATTACAAGGCTCTCGTAGACCCACAGGAAATTTTGAAAGCGAAGCACCTCAGTTTTGTAAAACCGACTTTGCAACCCTATCTCCTCCATCAGCTTAAGACTTAGCCACTTGAATCATGCGCCAAAAGATTCGCCATGTCGCGCGCAAAAACTAATGTTTCGTTTTTTTGAAATATGTTTTTCGTTAGTAATATATATAGCACCATTAATAGCGGGACCCTACAATCCTTCAGGTCATTTTTTACTAGAAATTTCATTTCTTGCTTCAAATAAACAAAAACCACATCAAACGGGTTAAATTTAATGGAGAATTCACTGGAAATAGTTTCGAAAGCTTTCAAGGATTTATAGAGGGTCTCGGGAAGGTCTCTGGAGAGTTTTGAAGCACTAAGTAATCCTACCAATTCTGCTTCAAGTTTTCTCGTTTATTCTCCTTCATTTACTGTCATATTCTATCGATGAACTATAAAAAATATAAGTACATAGAAAAAAAGTTAAAAATATATCTGATCTTTGGAAACAAAGACCAGAAGACAAAAGAACTGTACAAAAAGCCTATGAAAATACGTGATCTAATCATCTAAATTTGCATTAGTGATCTTTCGGTGACTAATAATGTTATCTCTACAAAGTCCACTAAAAAACATCATCAGTACTTGTTTATAATCTTGCTCAACCCAAACCTAAAACTTTGTCGAATCGAGCTAAAAAGGTGATATTCGGAATCAGCGTGCTCGACTCTATCAGACCATGTGTGTTTAAGCGAATAAAGGCGAGGTGTGGAAACTTTGAATTACGCACGCCTTACAACTAAAGGGTTTTGAAGTCAAAGTGTCTACATCACCTTACGTGTACCGGAGAATTGGGTCGCCGAGTCAGGCATTGCTTTCGATCAATCAGAACAAGTTCGTAATCATCTTCTTCATTTATTTGCAGACTGGGACAATAGTTTGCTCAACTTTATTCATTCTTGCGATGCTAATTTTACTCCACGCCCTCTATATATGCTACCTATAAATCATAGATGGGAAACGCAACAAGGTGTCACATTACTAGGCGATGCTGCTCATCTCATGTCTCCTTTTGCCGGCGAGGGTGTTAATTTGGCTATCCTCGATGCTACAGAGCTGGCTCTTGCCATCATCAGCGCAGACGATTTAAAACAAGCAATTCACAACTATGAGCAAAAGATGTTTTCTCGTGCCGCTAAAGCTGCCGACGAATCCTCAACCAATCTTGATCTATTTATTTCATCTGGAAATGCAGCAAAAATAGAGGCAGACCTCTTTAAAAAACTGATGGAAAGTGGCCACCAAATGACAAGGAAACTCCTGTTACTGCATAGTCAAAAGTTGCAATCTTACACTTAAATAACAATGACGACTATACACTCTATCTGATGCAGTGCGCGGATAAAAATATGTACATCACATTCCACTGCTCATTCGAACTTTGAGTTCAACCTTGAATTTCATGAAACTCTCAATGCGCGACATATGGCACCCCTGATAAGAACAAGAATGGCGCGCTATTTACAGTCTGACTTCTTCACAGTTTTTAACTGTCTGAGTCAAATTCCTTATCCATCGTACTAAACGTTGGAGAAAAACATAGAATTAGTAAGAAGAGAGTAATGTACTGAAAGTATGCATGTTTATTTAGACGATAAACCAGTTACTTACTCATTCATCCGTTTGATTAAATTCTTGGCATCTTGTAGAACTGATGTACTTTGAACAGGGAGAGGGACATTCGACGTTTAATCTCTTGGTACAATTCAATTTCTTCCTCTTCAAAACTTGATACATCTCTTAACGTTGTTGGTCTCTCACGCGGCAATATTGAATCAGAGCGAATAAAAACACTTGCAGCCAACTGACTTATGGATAGAAATGGTGTTTGTTGATTTTCATGTGCAGGCGTGGAATCTGCTGGATTAGTTGTTGTCAATGTTGATCGTCGCTGCACATTGATCAGAGAATTTGAAGCGATGGAACTTCTCGATTGCTGTTTAGTTTGTGTTAACGAGAGTAACATTGACATTATTGTCAATCTGAAAAGTGGAAATACTGTTATTTCCAAATGGCCTTAATGTGGGTATATGTGCAAGCTTTAACAGAAAAAATTATGATAAAATCGAGGTGCATGATAAAATTATTACTCACGTTGTCTGAGTATCAGTTTGTGATGGTTGCATTTGTGGTGATGTCTCAACGATCGATTTCGACATGATTAGTCCACGATCAGATATAGCCGCTGCGGAAGGAACTACTTCATTTTTCACCAATAAGTATGAGAATGGAAATAAAGCTGGACGGCTGAGTTCACTATTCGTAGTCATCGCGAGAATAACAACATTTAATAAATTTTTTAGATTTTTTGACGTGTAGCGATAGGGCAGCTGCAATGATTCATGTGTTGTGCGTGCCGTTGATTCTTCTTCTACACAAATAATACCATCTTCTTCTTCTTCTTGTATGGTTGATGGTGGTGACGATAATTGTGGCTGCATTGGATTTTCTTCTTCCGTTTCATCCATAATATTACCACCAACATATAACTTCTATCTCGAGTGAGAATCTAAAGTATTACAAATAATTACTTTTAGGTTCCTGAAAGTTGATGAAAACTAGAAGTGTACAATAAAGAGCAATGCTTTAAAAATCTAAGTTTTTGCGTATCTTATACAAATCTTAGTAATATTATGAATGCAACATCACTAGAAAATATTTAGCTAATTTTTGAATATCAAGTGCTAAAAATGTTTTGAATTTTTAAACTCGCCTTTATTGGAACTATCGAAATATATTTTATAACTGCTGTTTTGTTACAGAAAAGCCCAAGCCTTGGAAACTTGAACTGGCCCTCACTACGCGCGCAGATTAGTGCGTGGATGGGTAACCGTCACTGGAGATGGAATCACCGTTTTATTTCGGCGACGTCTGATGTATATATTCTCAACATGAGTTGAGAGAAGTTACAATAAGGCAGTCTCGAGGACTGCGCGCGTAATCATTAAAAAATCATAAATATCATAAGAATACATATGACAGTAGTTTTAGTCTGAAAATTTTAGATGACTGTAAAAATAGATTCAGCAATGTTGTCTCCAGTATAAACATTCTCTTTTCTTTTGTGTGATGGAGTTTCTTCATTTTTTAGGATATTCTAATCATCACTTGCTTAATAGATTCATTCAACCTGATTGTGTGATCAGAGAAACACGGGTACACATATCTGTGTTTCTTTTTCCTTTTTTTGTGTGTGCATAAATTATATAACTAAATAAAGCGCTCTCTCTCTCAACTAATCATCTTCTTTCCTTGACTAAAGACTTCATGTTACGTAAGAGATAACTGAAAATATTGGATAAAACGTCGCTGAACATTTACATGTTTTTAAAAATTTAACATATGGTCAAGAAGTGTGAATAAAAATTAGGTATACGTTTATATATATGAACTATTGAGTCATCTTTTAAGGTGAAGAATTTCAAAACAGATAATAACGACCTTTATCATAATGAAAATAACTATTTTCTGTTCCGTTTGGTCTTTATTAAAGACATCAGCAGTCGAATGTGACAAATGACAGTTGATTCTGAAGATAGAAAATAGTAGATAAAATAAAATACAAGTATTTATGCAAAATAAAATCGATAGAACAGAACGAACTTTCTTTTCTAACTTTGTCCGTACACGTGATGCATCATCAAAGTACTTTGAGGTCAAAACTTGTTTGTGAATAGATTGTTCTTTTGTTTTGTTTTGTGTGAATATCTATCAACAAGCTCTGTTTGACAGTTCTTTTTATAGCGTGTGATCTTAGAAAATCCTGTTCCATAAAAAGCTTTCTGATGTTGGGATCTCAAGATGTAGTTTGTGTTAGTTTTAAAACTTAATTTGCTTTTTAGATACGAGGGACAAAATCCTTTTATTATCATAAATCCATGTGTGAGAACACTATTTTTAAATGATTCAGTGAGATCGATCCATCCTAAGCATTCAAGAAGTTTTTGTTTATTAGTTAATCTCTTACAACCAGAGACCAAGCACGCAATCTATACTGTAATGTTGATAAAGAATCGAGATGTGTGACGTACGTAGAGGAGTAGATGACTGAACCGTACATACAGATGACTGACTTTTTTGGTGAAATTTAAGTATACAAAAGACTGTCCAACATGACCTAAAACAAGAAAAAGGAGAAAGAGAGGTGATAAATAAATGCATTTTACTCAGAACACAAACCGGTAAAACAGTCTTTGTTACACCAAATAATGAATGTTTCTCTCCTAATTCGTGCAGGAGCGGTTGGTATTTGTTTGATTCTTGTACACATCTTGTACAGTTACATATTTGGCGAATTTCCATAAGTATTTCATTTCTGGATGCTGTTCAAATAAACTAGAGTAAAAAGCAATAACTCTGATGTTTGGAATGTAAAGAACGACGACTTTTCAATTATATAAGTTTTCTCTGCATAGTCATGAATAAAATCAGAAAGAGTGGTCCGATAGAACGATGTTCTTAGTTACTGCATTTATTGACCAATAGAGTGCGAACTACTATCTCTTTCAAAAACGAGTGTCTGCGACTAGTCTTTAAATAATTTTTATTGATACTTCTCGAAATTCAAAACAAAAGCCTTACAAGAACATTTTTATTAGAGAAAAACAGTTTTAAAACATTTCTTTGCAAAAACTATATAAAGACATAAAAGTTATATGATCGCCGATGCTTATCTCGAACATGGAAGATGCAGCCGCTGTGGATTCTAAGAAATCGATGTTGAAAACTAGATCTGGAAAGACACTTATGGATTCAGAACTAATTTCTGTCGTTGTCAAGACATGTCAACTTGTCTCTATTCGCAAATGTTTTCGACTAATAGACATGTTCTCACAATGTTCTTTCAATTTAACTGCTGAATAATCAGAGAAGTACAAGAAGAATTATATATCACACATGCAAAAGTTCGGTTTTGACTTGCTAGATTCAAATAACCTAAAGTACATTGTAGGACTTGGACTTCTGCTGAAACAAGCTATCTTCATATTTCTTTCTTATTGTTTATCTCCGTTTCCTTCTCACTTAAGCAATGTTCTGCATGAAATCAGAAATAGCTCACTTGGATTGTTTAATATTGCCTAACACATCTGTCACTCAACAAGATTTATTATTGTAAGATATTCAGTCTTGTCTAAGTAGCAATCATAAAAATTGGACTTGGATAGATAAGTCACATCAAAGGCTGTTCTACCTATGATGTCTGAAATCAGTTTTTATGTGGAATTATTGTCTTTTTCTGCTACTGTCATGTTCGTTTTGCTCTACTGAGATATGTCTTCTTTTTTTTCGACTTTTCCATACTTTGGTAACTGTTCATGATGAAGAGATGGAACGAAAGTAAAGTTAATAGTACTGTTTAATATAGTCATTACTGTTGACCTTGTATAGTTATGGTGCGTTCATTATGCAAAAGTGAATTTTATCGAACAAGCTTGATAATCGTAGTTAAATTCTTGTCTTCTGGATGATCAATCCCTTCTTGTTTCATCGCCAGCCGACAATATTCAATTAGCTTTTGTACAAATAGTAGTCGGATGTCACTGACGAGAGAGAGATATTTCTGAAAAAAAAACAGTTTTTCAGAAAATCCTATGAGCTTCGAACACGGCAAAAGAACTTTCTACTCGACGGAAGGTGAAGTCGATTCTGAATAAAATGAGCTATTTGCCAACTCCCTATGATGTTTCTGTAGTATTAAGAGAAGACTTACATGTATTAAAGACTGTATTTACAAATCTAAAACTACTAAAAGTGAGCAGAAATACTAAACAGAACATTCCGTGTCAGCAGCTAAGGAGTCCTTTAATATTGATTATAATCTCATGATTCGTAGTACATGTAAATATCTCTCACTGTGTTCTTTTTAGGTATTTCACGTCGGTATATCTGATACTGAATGATTATGCAATGATTTTGGTTTATGTGTTATAAATATGTTTGACACGTATCATGCAGCTAAAGAATTAAATTTAACATCGTTCAAAGTACACAAACAACACAAACTACTCAAAAAGTACACAAACTGCTCAAAATACCCAAAGTACACAAAGTACAAATACTATCCATTTTTCCATCTACGCATACAATGCTATAAATGCTGCACATCAAACAAGCTGAATACCGAAGCTTCAACAAGAAATACTCAAAAATAAAAATACCTATCTGCGATGCACTCACGTAAACGTTTTATTACACGAAGAAAGACAATACAGACCGTAATCGTATTGTGACATCTCTGCGTTTCTTTGGTGCATCTTTTACGTGACAACTAGTCGTTACCAAGACTGGTACTTTTATTGGTATTGGAACTTTTTCACAGTTGACTCCAATGTTTGTTAGGAGTTTGAAGCTTGAGAGTCGAGCTACAAACTGTACAATCATATCTTTACCGCTAGCTCCTACAGATAAGCTTGAAGCAACGTGAAATTTTGTCTATCTACCTAACTTTTGATTCTGAATCTAAAGTGCAGTAACGAAGCAGTACCGAGTAAAGATATGATTGTACAAAAAAACTAAGTTTTTTATTCTACGTCGATCATGCACGAGAGTTTTTGACGCTGATTCCGAATATGACCTTGGATTTGGTTAAACAAAGTTTTGTTGAAGAAAAGCGCAAAAAACTGTAAAAATTTGCGGTAGTCAGCCATCTTGTCCTGCAAATTCAGATATTTTGCTGAGGTTTCTCGAACCAGTTTTTCAGCGGAGTTTGTGGAGAATTAAATTCTCTACACGATACAAATATCAAAGTTTTGGTCAAATGACATCCAGATTCGAAAAATGTCTTTTACTCGAAAACGTGTTTTTCTAACCATAATCCTTCGGGTCATCAGATTTTAAAAAATTCCATGTATTTTGAAAAGATTCGAAAAACACATTTTCTAAGTCAGTTTTTGACACTCTTTCAAGTGAGGCATTGCTCGAAAAGTTTGGATGAAAAATGACGGAGTTAATCTAAAAATATCGAAAAACGCGTTTTTCTTGACCTCCTCATGTTCCAACGCGTATATCTAGGTCTTTTCTTTTTGTACAATCATATCTTTACCCGGTACTGCTTCGTTACTGCGTTTTTATCAACCATATGACATCTTTCTCATCATTCTTTTGAATTTAAAAAGAGGCAAATCGTATAACTTTTTTCTTCTTTCACAAACTTATTCAAGTTTTTAAACATGTTTTCTACATGCTTACTTCTCCTGTTGGGTGAGTAAAAAGAAAGTTGCACGATTAATTTCACATCTATACAGGGGTTTATGCACCTGTGAAGCGAATTTGTCGTTTATAATGAGGGTTAATACGTATAGAGCATACCACCATTACAACAGTCTTTGGTAGAAACGCCGGACATAGTTTTCCTAAGGTAACTTTCGTCGTAGATTTCAAAGCCAAAAACCACACGTCGATATCTTTGATAGAAAAAAAAAGTAAATGTCTCAGTTAAAAAGTGATTTTCGCAGAAATGTCCTGCTGT